CACGACTGCTCTGCCACCGTTCCCACGCTTGCTCCATTGTGCAGGTCTCTTCCTCCAGGCCGGCGAGCAGTTTTGACACGTCGCTCGTCTCGATCTTGGCAGCCGGCTCGGCCGCCGGCGACGGGCTATGCGCCTTGGCGGGCGTCCCAGCTCCCGCGGGTCGGCGTCCCCCTGCAGCCGCTCGTCCAGCAGCGCGACAAGCGCCGCCCCTTCGCTGACATTCCTCGCGGCCACCAGCGGGAAGTACTCTGACAGCGACGCGCCGTGCTCCGTTGTCACCCAGCACCGCGCGTTCCGCCTTCCTGATATGATCTCCAGCAGCACCATCCCGTAGCTGTACACGTCGGCCTTGGCGGTGATGGGCACGCCGGAGATCCACTCCGGCGCGAGGTACCCGATGGTGCCCCGCACCTTTGTCAGGAAGCGGCTGAAGTCCCTCCCCACCAGTTTCGCCATGCCGAAGTCGGCGACCTTGGGGACGAGGTCCTCGTTGAGCAGGATGTTCTCCGGCTTAATGTCGCAGTGGATGATGCAGTCCCGGCAACCCTCGTGGAGGTACAGCAAACCCCGGGCGGCGCCGAGCGCGATCTGGAACCTGGCGCTCCAGCTCAGCGTCGGCGGCGCCGCAGCTCCCCCAAAAAGCGCCCTGTCCAGCGAACCGTTGGGCATGTAGTCGTAGACGAGTAGCCGCTCGCTGCTGTGGGAGGAGAAACCGCGGAGGCGGACGAGGTTGACGTGCTGGATCCCGCCGATGGTGCGCACCTCGTTCCTGAACTGCTTCTCCCCCACGCAGAGGAGGCGCCTCCGAGCTTCTCCGAGAAGTTCTTGGTCGCCCTCCTCAGCTCGCTGTACTTGAACGCCACGAGGCTACCACCTTTTGCTGCTGCTTGCATGAATCTTATGCTGCTCTGTCTTCTCCTAAACATCTTAACAAACACGGACACAATGGCACACAAGACTAGGATCGACGCAACTGAGGCAGTAGAAACGAAGATTGCCGTTCTGTTACGATCTTTTGAGGACACGTCCATGGCAGACAACCGGAGGTGAAGATCATCCATTCCTGCAGTGTCGTCGACCCGTCGCTCCAAGTTGAGCAGGTCACCGTACCACAGAGCACATCGTCTGCCGTAGGAGTAAGCGTTGCAGTCGCAACTTCTCAAGCACGCCAACCTGCAGTCTTGAGCGCTTGATGCTTCAACCGGCGGCGACGGGTTTCCCGGCAGAGAAATACCTGGCACCAGCAAGAAGGCGTCACCGTCCTTGCCACTGTCACACTGCAAGGGATGGTTTCGGCGGCAGCCGTGTGAGTGATCTCCTAGCTCCCAGTCCTCCATGGAGGAGGGGCGGAAGCCGGCGGGGCAGCTACAGAATGGCTCACTCTTCTCGTCGCAGACGCCAAACGCGCCGCAGATGAGCTGTCTCACCTGGCCGGAGACGTCCAAGACGAACCTGGAGATGACCGTGGGGTCTTGCAGAGAGTAGTCGAAGTAGCTGGCGTTGTCGTTGGACACGAACTCGAAGTTGTAAAAGTAGTGCGACGTCATCTCCGGGACACCGGCAAAGATGTTGCCGTTCCACTCTCCACTGCTCCAGAAACTCACGGTTGTGTTCCAGTACGTGAAGAACTGACTGGTTCCGTTAAAGTCGATCCCCAGGGAGTACACGCCGGGAGCCGGGGCACTGGAGCTCCTCCAGCAAGTCAGAGCCTGCACGTGGCCGGTGATCTTGTTCATGCCGAGACGGACTCCCGGGAGCCACGTGTCGGTGGGATGCTCAGCGCTCTGCCACAGGACCTCGCCGTCGTCGCGCCGGAGGACGAGGTTCGACCGTCGCACTGACCCCCCCTCCGCACTGTCTCCTCCATCGAGGAGCGCCTTCGTCACGGGACTTGGCGAGGGACCCATCCTCGGACGCCTCCTCCAGTGCCTCCCACGGCTTGCTCTCCTGCAGCCGCCGCCCCACAGCCGGACTCCACGCCCACCCCCGACGGCAGCGGCCGCGGCCCACGCTTCTTCTTGTCGAGCATGGAGCAGTGTCGCTTAAGCCTCCCTATTCGGTGCGTTCGTGAGAAGGTGGGCGCTGGGTCTATTTTTTATGAGAAAAATAGATGTGAGGGGTTAAATGAAAATTATATGTCATACTAGCATGTCACGTCAGCAAAAAAAAATATCCACGTGGCTGGTATGGGCCTACGGTGCACCACTTAACAAGTTTAGTGACCCAGAAATATATTTTCCAAGTTTATGGACCTATGTGACACACGCCTACAAGTTCGAGGGCTGCTGGTGCATTTAACTCTAAAATTTATCAGTTTCATAACGAGACTGAACCTTTTAGCAATAGTGTTAAATGTAGCTATATATGGCATGATTTGATCAGAACCCTTGTAACATACATCATCTGGGAGTGGATCCATAATGTGCACAGTTTTCTTTTGCATGTCCATTATGAATAAAGTATATAGTCCATCTCGATAATATGGCAGTAGAATCTAAAAACATACACATCTCTACTATAAGGGACCAATCTAAACTATTTTAGGTACACCAAACAATACATCCCCTGCTGAGGGAGCCAATCATTGTGCACCAATAAAATTGCACCCAAGATTTTAACATCATTAAAATCTATGGCTCCTAATCCTCTCTCACAGGCTTCAACTCGATCCGATGGCGAACGTTATTTGGATCTCCCCACCCTCCAGGCTTCAACGCGCAATTAGGTGGAAACAAAATTGCCGTCACACGTGTCTCCACTCCCCTTTCCGGCAAGGCCGCAACCCCTCCCCAAAATCACGCACGAGCGGGGAAAATTTTTTCTGTCAATCACGATCACGCCCGCATCTCCCCCTCCACCCAAGGCCACAAGCCCGCAGCCCCTACTCGTTTCTCAGAGAAATTGTGTGGTTCCCGTACCCGGCAGTGCGACACCGCAGCCTCTGCCGTTTCCCTACCCATCCACCGCAGCTCTCTCTCATCCCCTCCAGCTCCCCCATCCGCTGCCCACCCCAACACATGCTCTTCGACGAGGACCGACAGCCGCGTAGCAGTCTGACGCTGCCATTGACCACAAGGCGAGATGGGCAACAGCGACGCCGCATCGCCCGCATAGGCGGCCGCTGCGTGCGATGCCAAGAAGAAGAGGGTAAGAGGGGGCTGTTCGCCATGCGGTAGCTCCTAGATCCTGGGCGCCTCCTCCTGCCCCGACGGCAGCAGCGGCAGCAGCGCCACCACGAGCGCGAACAGCGCCGCCTTCGCGGCCAGGTTGGACGGGAACAGCAGCGCGAGCACCTGCTGCAGCCACGCGGACGCGGAGACGTCGCTGGCCGTCGTCTTCGGGGTGATCTTTCTGGTGTGAATCCTGGTTTGATTTGGTTTGGTTCTGAGTTTTTTTTTTGTTGCTTTCAGGGAATCTCTCGGCAGCGAAGCTGAAGCAGAGCAACAGCGAGACGCCGCCGCGAGTAGTTTCTGTCCAAGGGGCTATGGTCTGATCTCATGCCTGGTCTGTACGATACATTAATCTTAATCCGTGTTTTCTTTTCTTGTCAATCTGCGATGATGAGTAAATAGCTCTACGGTGCTTGCTTACGGTAGCTGATAACTGATATCTCCACGAAGTATCATGGACCTAGCAAACCCATGGAAGCATACTGAATAAAATCCATGTCGGTTCCACGGTGAGGTCCTCTGTCTTTTGGTCCAGTTTCCGATGCGAGCTCGTGCTGGCAATGCCTTGCCGTGCCCAAGCCATGGCACACGCACGCGCGACTCCGGCGAGCAAGTAGCCCGGCCGTGCGTGCTCTGTTTTACTGGTTAGCTTGTTGACATCATCGTGACATCACTCGCATTTATGGCCGTTTTCCTTTGGAAAAATAAATCTAGAAATATAACTCCAAATACACCATTGTGGAGATGGTCCATGGTGGACTGCTCTCACAGCACCTCCACCGGTTCACGGCCTGCAGACTCGGTCCACAGCATAGTGCATGCGCACTTTGCGTTCTAACCCCTGTACTTTTCCGTAATCGATCTACTGTTTTGTGAGTCTTGTATATCTTTCAAGCTAGCCCCTATCATCTACGGTTATTTTTGTTTTAGCCCAGTCAGCAAACGTAGTCAGCCCAAGCCGCGCACGTTTTGCAGTTAAGACCCTCTGTTTTCGGTGAATTAACCCGCAGTCCAGTCCAGTTCAAAATAAGGGGCTAAGGTCTGATCTCATGTCTGGTCTGTACGATACATTAATCTTAATCCGTGTTTTCTTTTCTTGTCAATCTGCGATGATGAGTAAATAGCTCTACGGTGCTTGCTTACGGTAGCTGATAACTGATATCTCCACGAAGTATCATGGACCTAGCAAACCCATGGAAGCATACTAAATAAAATCCATGTTTTGAATGTGGTAAAATTGAAATTGCATATTATACTATAAGGGACCAATCTAAACTATTTTAAGTATACCAAACAATGTGTCCCCCGCCGAGGGAGCCAATCATTGTGCACCAATGAAATTGCTCCTAATCCTCCCTCACAGGCTTCAACTCGATCCGATGGCGAACGTTATTTGGATCTCCCCACCCTCCAGGCTTCAACGCACAATTAGGTGGAAACAAAATCGCCGCCGCACACGTCTCCGCTCCCCTTCCCCGCAAGGCCGCAACCCCTCCCCGAAATCACGCCCGCATCTCCCCCTCCACCCAAGGCCACAAGCCCGCAGCTCCTACCCACAATCACGCACGCATGGAAAAAAGATATCCCGATCAATCACGCACGCTGCCGGTGTAACGCAGTGCTCCAATTAATCCCTTGGTGAAGCCGCGTCGACCATCATCACATGCGGACGTGCATCTGAATAGAATGCAATGCTCGATCTGATCCCTGGTGTAGCCGCGCAGGCCATCATCACGTGCAGAAATTTTCCATCAAAATTATGCTTCGTCAAACTAAAATTTTCCATCAAAATTCATAAAAAATGTTATTTGCAAAAGCAGGTATTTGACAATGTCTACGCCAAAAGATACACGCACTGCGCTAAGCGATATCACCAACAACCACGTCACAGGTATGCTTTAGATTTTTGACATGTATACAACAGTGCAATCAAATACTTCAGGCAATATGTTGCTGATTTCCTATATGTATCTCGGCTACTCTAGACAATGCCAAGCGTAAAAGGGAGGAAAGGAACGCGGCGCAACGAAAACGTCGAGCTGAGATGTCCATTGAACAAAGGGAAGAGATTAATAGGAAACAACGAGAGTACCGAGCACGGAAAAAGGCTGCAACCCAAAATATTACCACTTCCTGTGTTGTGTCTCCAACAGAGCTAACATCGTCACCCATAGTAGGTGCGTAATCTCGGCGATGCTAATATTTACACCTTCAGCTATCATTCACTCTAACTAAACTCTCTTCACATGTGAAGGTGCGACATCAACCCTAACTGAGCACACACCATTTGGAACTGCTTTCTCTGCCATTGTGCAAGCACCGAGCATAGAGAATGTTGAAAATGTCCATCTAGATGAGCCCACAGAATGGCTACATAGAAATGATAATTACAAACGTCGGAGTGGCAGCGCAGATACATTTCATTCGGTACCAGCTATATGCACAAAAGGAGCCTCAGCCAGTGCATCTCAAGGTGCAACACATTAGTTTTGTTCCCAACCTCACTATAAGTTTGTTTAATACTTTAAAATGGAAAGTACACAGATTAAATAAATTATATTGTGACCTTCAGGTGGTTCATCCAGTAGGGATAAGCTACTAAGAAATAGGGAAAGTTATAACAATATGGATGCACAAAAGAAGGAGGACTTGCTACAACGGAATTGGGACTACAAGATGCATAGAGCAATGCCAGGTCAGCACGGGAACCACACAATTTCTCTGAAATGTAACACATTTCGATAGCTACTGTAGTTTGCATATAATAAGGTGTTATTTTAATTTGCAGGTGATAATTTTCCTAGGCTACGCCACAACCATGTACAAGGTGAAACTAATGAAGATGAATTTGACCGTGAATTATTCGAACCTACAAATATTGTTGAAGACGGTGAAGAAGATGACATGAACGCCGCCTAGGGATTGCACAACGAAAACTTATATGCTCATGATGATGGAATAATTCAGCTACATCCAAGAGGTACTATGACTTCATAATATATACGTCATGTAAAAAAAACCAGCTTATATACGTCTTCATATAATGTTTACATCATCACATATAATGTTTCCAGCGCAACTAATATGATTACTATAATGTTTCCCATGTAGGTCCTGATTATGAGTCTTATCGCGTGCTTGTAGAGGGTGCAGCTGCACATAGTGTGACGGATGATCCATATGAATTCATCTACCAGAACCTACCACAAAAGACATAGGTTGAGAAATGTCCCTGACTGCCATTACTGTGGTGCGATGAGGTTTCAGTATGAGCCACCCGGGTTTTGTTGTAGAAAAGGAAAAATAAAAATACATATACCGGAGGTTCCTGCAGAGCTAAAAAGGTTGTTTACAAGTCAAGTGCATGATGATGCAAAATATTTCAGGTAACATATACGATATCTCAACTCGCATTTTCATTCGCAAGCCTAGGGGTTACCCTTGACCGCAGATATAACACTCCAGTAGGGACCGGTATTTATACATTTTGAGTTCATGGCGGGTTGTACCATCGTCTAGATCACCTGGTGCTAGGTGGCCACGGCCCTTGGCATCTGCAGCTCTACTTTTATGATACAGAAGATGAGGCCTTGTCACACAGAGTCAAAAGGTCCCCTGATCTTGATATCAACCTCATCCGAAATATCCTTACAATTTTGCAGGATAACCCGTATGTTCATACTTTTAGGAGAAATGGTGCTTTTCCAAACTTGGATAACTACCGGATTGAACTCAATACAAATGTCATGCCTGACCAGAGAAGGTACAATGCCCCAACGGCAGCCCAAGTTGCTGCTGTCTGGATGGAGGGGAACGATCCACAGAGATGTTTTGATAGGAGTGTGGTTGTATATGGAAGGACGGATTGTCGTCCGCAATATATCCGAGCATACCATGGTTGTTAAGACCCATTAGCTTATCCTCTATACAACCCACAAGGGGAAACATGATGGAACAAGTTTATGCCGTACAGTGATGATCCAGTCAGTCAACCATCTGTAACCCCGGCTTCTACTAATGTTAATTGCAGGAATAGGGCACTACTAGTGCTTTTCAAGGTATTATTTGTGCTATAATACTCATATGGAATAATTATATTGTAGAATAATTTCTGCTATAATATTCCTACTATGGTGTAAGTATATATTAAAATAGAGATCTGACATTTTTTATATATGTTGCAGCTGATAATTATAACGAAAATCAGGCAGAAGAAGGCGACAATGACCTACAAGAAGGTGATTGGCTAAGTAGAGTTGCTGATGCAGCACAATCTTCAAGATATGTGACTGCACGAGAATACTATTGCTTCAAGATGCAAGTTAGACGGGGACTTTTTAACATTTTATTATTTGGAGGACGTCTTTTCCAGCATTGGGCTGTAGATATGTATATAAAGATCGAGTCCATGAGGCTAGATTGGTACTCTAATCCTGAGAACCAAAAGCTTATACGGGCAGAGCTATACCAGGTAACCACTCAAATTATTTTGTTTATTTGTTTATGAACTTTGCAACCCTATTACTGTCTTTTTTCTAATATCGTACGTACTTAATTGTATTTTAGGGACTTGTTGATGTTATCTCTGCTGGAGAGACCCGGGGTTCTAAGGTTGGCAAGCGAATTGTGCTGCCAAGATCATTCCCTGGATGCGATCGAGACATGCAACAAAGGTTCCTTAATGCTATGGCTATAGTGCAACGTTTTGGAAGGCCTGATTACTTCATCACCATGACATGCAATCCCTACTGGGAAGAGATAACAAGCAATCTCGAACCTAGGCAGGAACCACGAGATAGGCCAGAACTGGTTGCAAGAGTGTACAGGGCAAAGTTGAGAGATCTAAAAGATCTTCTGATCAAGAGAAAGTATTTTGGTGATGTTGCAGCATATGTTCATGTTACCGAGTTCCAAAAAAGGGGGCTACCACATGAGCATTTCTTGTTGATCATGAAGTCAGGGAGTAAGTTGACAACCCCAGATACATATGATCGAGTAATTTTAGCAGAGATACTAGACAAGGATAGATACCCAGAGTTGCATGATCTGGTTATCAGTCATATGTTGCATGGACCATATGGCGTGCTAAACAAAAACTACGCGTGCATGGTGGATGGAGAGTGCCGCTTTCACTATCCTCGACAGTTCTGTGAGGCAACCCAACAAGGAAATGACTCATATCCAACATACAGGAGAAGGGATGATGGACGTCGAGTAAAGATTAGGAGAGCAGAATTAGATAACAGGTGGGTGGTGCCCTACAACCCTGGTCTGCTCATGAGATACAACTATCACATAAATGTTGAAGCATGCTCGCGCATTAAAGCAGTGAAGTATCTATTTAAGTACGTATATAAAGGCCATGACCAAGCATCATTCTCGGTAAATGAAGATCAACATGATAGAGATGATGGTGTCATCAATGAGATACAACAGTATAGAAATGCTAGAACTACATTTGCCTGATATGCAATCTGTGACATACAATGAGGAGGAAAACCTTGAGGATGTTGTCAATCGCCCAGGTTCTAATAGTACCACACTTACCGAGTATTTCAGTAAAAACCGCAAAGATAGGACAGCAAGAAAAATATTATATAGAGAATTGCCAGAACACTACCGTTGGATCAAAGGTTAAAAAAGTGTGGCAAATAAGGAAACAAAAGTCAGGACAAATAGGATGGATTGTCTATGCAAACCCTGCTGAAGAGGAGAGATACTTCCTAAGAGTTCTACTAAATCATGTGAGAGGTGCAACATCAAATTTCTCTTGAACTTGAAAGGAAGAAAAATATCATCCTTGAACTTGAAAGGAATCGAAATATCATCCGAGGGAGACAATGGGAGCCTTGGTATGAAAACCCTTTTCTACGCATGTTGTCCACCAACGATCTCGGCATCAATTGTATTGTCTTGCAATGCTCTTATCATAAGCCTTGTTCCATTGCACAATCCATTGTTAGGATCTAGGTTGCGGAGAAGAATCACAGGACAATTGATTTTTAGCTTCAGCTCGTGCGGGGGGAGGCCATTTGGAGTTATTGAGTTCAAAAAATCAATAGGGAAGTGATTCTGAGGATTGTCAACAATAGTGTCGAAGCTGTGGTAAATCTTTTCCTCACCTGGAAACCTCTCAATCATCATTGCGTTTAGTCTATCAACATGTTCATTTTTGGTCGATAGAATGGCACGGGAGCTCATATAGACGGCTGATGTTGCATGTTCTACAAGTGACGGAAAAACATCTTGAATGAGTTTGTTGACAGCCACCTCCGTGTCAGTAAAACCAATCACAATCTCATGAGGAAGGCAAATATAATCATCTCCAATCGTTTTCTTGGTTCCATTTCCAATTCGTAACAGGTAATTTGAAAACCAAGGGTCAGACTGTGCCCTCATGTTACATGACAATCTTATCTTCCTTATTTTCTCCCATAAATAGGATCTTTGCAATGTTGCATCAGTTACCTGTGCTCTTGTCCCACGTGTGACCACAGGAAGGACCTGTCTGAAGTCTCCACCAAATACCATGACCTTTCCTCCAAATGGCAAACCACATTCCATAATATCCTGTAGGGACCTATCAAGTGTCTCGACGCACTGACGCTTGGTCATGGCAACTTCATCCCAAATAATCAAAGATGCCCTACGAAGCGACTCTACAGTGCCACTTTGCTTCGTAAAGCTGCACATGCTGTTGTCCCCAATTTTAATTGGAATTTTAAACCTTGATTGTGCAGTGCGTCCCTCAGGCAATATCGATGCTGCTATACCAGATGTGGCTGTTGCAATGGCTATTAATCCTTCGGACCAAACTTTAGCAAGGAGGGCCTTATATAGGAACTTCTTGCCCGTGCCTCTAGGACCATCTACGAAAAAACTTGGCTCTTATTAGCACGGACATGCTAAAGGATTTCATCAAACCCTTCACGCTGTTCCTTGTTAAGAGATTCATAAATATCTAAGTGTTCTTGGTCTATAGAGACGTTCTGTTCCTTTCTAACCTCTTTCATCATGTCATTGGAGCTTTGACCCTCATCGCAAATAGGTGGCAAACCATAATCTCTGATATCCTTCCCCATTGAGTGAACCATATCTAGTATGTCTCTGAGCACCATTTGCCCCACTGCAGACGTGTTGCTGTTGTCCCATCTGAAGTCTTCATCGAGAGCGTCCTTATGCTTGTCCCATAGTCCAAGTATGTTAGTGGCCTCACAGAAGACAAGAATGGTAGCAAACAACCTTCGCAAGGCACACGACATCTGAAAAGTGGTGGCCTCAGTCAAACAGTCGTCGATTGATTTGTCCGTCTCGATAAGCCCTCTTTTCTCGCATGCTTCCCTGAAAGTGGAGTAGGTGACACCAGCCACTGTTCTCAAATCCTCATATGATGTTGCACCTCTCACATGATTTAGTAGAACTCTTAGGAAGTATCTCTCCCCTTCAGCAGGGTTTGCATAGACAATCCATCCTATTTGTCCTGACTTTTGTTTCCTTATTTGCCACACTTTTTCCCTTTTATCCAATGGTAGTGTTCTGGCAATTCTCTATATAATATTTTTCTTGCTGTCCTATCTTTGTGGTTTTTACTAAAATACTCGGTAAGTGTGGTACTATTAGAACCTGGGTGATTGACAACATCCTCAAGGTTTTCCTCCTCATTGTATGTCACAAATTGCATATCAGGCAAATGTAGTTGGAGCTGCAATACAGCAGGATAGACTATTAACATTGGGAAACTGAATATCCTATGCACAGCTTCCGGTGGAGATATGTATCTAGCATTTCTGTACTGTCGAATCTCATTGATGACACCATCATCTCTATCATGTTGATCTTCATTTACCAAGAATGATGCTTGGTCATGGCCTTTATATACATACTTAAATAGATACTTCACTACTTTAATGCTTGAGCATGCTTCAACATTTATGTGACAGTTGTATCTCATGAGCAGACCAGGGTTGTAGGGCACCACCCACCTGTTATCTAACTCTGCTCTCCTAATCTTTACTCGACGTCCATCATCCCTTCTCCTATATGTTGGATATGAGTCATTTCCTTGTTGGGTTGCCTCACAAAACTATCGAGGATAGTGAAAGCGGCACTCTCCATCCACCATGCACGCGTAGTTTTTGTTTAGCACGCCACATGGTCCGTGCAACATATGACTGATAACCAAATCTTGCAACTCTGGGTATCTATCCTTGTCTGGTATCTCCGCTGAAATTACTCGATCATATGCATCTGGGGTTGTCAACTTACTCCCTGACTTCATGATCAACAAGAAATGCTCATGTGGTAGCCCCCTTTTTTGGAACTCGGTAACATGAACATATGCTGCAACATCACCAAAATACTTTCTCTTGATCAGAAGATCTTTTAGATCTCTCAACTTTGCCCTGTACACTCTTGCAACCAGTTCTGGCCTATCTTGTGGTTCCTTCCAAGGTTCGAGATTGCTTGTTATCTCTTCCTAGTAGGGATTGCATGTCATGGTGATGAAGTAATCAGGCCTTCCAAAACGTTGCACAATAGCCATAGCATTAAGGAACCTTTGCTGCATGTCTCGATCGCATCCAGGGAATGATCTTGGCAGCACAATTCTCTTGCCAACCTTAGAACCCCAGGTCTCTGCAGCAGAGATAACATCAACCAGTCCCTAAAATACAATTAAGTACGTACGACAATAGAAAAAGGACAGTAATAGGGTTGCAAAGTTCATAAACAAATAAACAAAATAATTTGAGTGGTTACCTGGTATAGCTCTGCCCGTATAAGCTTTTGGTTCTCGGGATTAGAGTACCAATCTAGCCTCATGGACTTGATCTTTATATACATATCTATAGCCCATTGCTGGAAAGACGTCCTCCAAATAATAAAATGTTAAAAAGTCCCCGTCTAACTTGCTTCTTGAAGCAATAGTATTCTCGTGCAGTCACATATCTTAAAGATTGTGCTGCATCAGCAACTCTACTTAGCCAATCACCTTCTTATAGGTCATTGTCGCCTTCTTCTGCCTGATTTTCGTTATAATTATCAGCTGCAACATATATAAAAAATGTCAGATCTCTATTTTAATATATACTTACACCATAGTAGGAATATTATAGCAGAAATTATTCTACAATATAATTATTCCATATGAGTATTATAGCACAAATAATACCTTGAAAAGCACTAGTAGTGCCCTCATCCCTGTAATTAACATTAGTAGAAGCCAGGGTTACAGATGGTTGACTGACTGGATCATCACTGTACGGCATAAACTTGTTCCATCATGTTTCCCCTTGTGGGTTGTATAGAGGATAAGCTAATGGGTCATAACAACCATGGTATGCTCGGATATATTGCGGACGACAATCCGTCCTTCCATATACAACCACACTCCTATCAGAACATCTCTGTGGATCGTTCCCCTCCATCCAGATAGCAGCAACTTGGGCTGTCGTTGGGGCATTGTACCTTCTCTGGTCAGGCGTGACATTTGTATTGATTTCAATCCGGTAGTTATCCAAGTTTGGAAAAGCACCCTTTCTCCTAAAAGTATGAACATATGGGTTATCCTGCAAAATTGTAAGGATATTTCGGATGAGGTTGATATCAAGATCAGGGGACCTTTTGACTCTGTGTGACAAGGCCTCATCTTCTGTATCATAAAAGTAGAGCTGCAGATGCCGAGGGCCGTGGCCACCTGGCACTAGGTGATGTAAACGATGGTACAACACGCCATGAACTCAAAATGTATAAATACCGGTCCCTACTAGAGTGTTATATCTGCGGTCAAGGGTAACCCCTAGGCTTGCGAATGCGAAATGTGAGTTGAGATATCGTATATGTTACCTGAAATATTTTGCATCATCATGCACTTGACTTGTAAACAACCTTTTTAGCTCTGCAGGAACCTCCGGTATATGTATTTTTATTTTTCCTTTTCTACAACAAAACCCGGGTGGCTCATACTGAAACCTCATCACACCATAGTAATGGCAGTCAGGGACATTTCTCAACCTATGTCTTTTGTGGCAGGTTCTGGTAGATGAATTCATATGGATCATCCGTCACACTATGTGCAGCCGCACCCTCTACAAGCACGCGATAAGACTCATAATCAGGACCTGCATGGGAAACATTATAGTAATCATATTAGTTGCGCTGGAAACATTTTATGTGATGATGTAAACTTTATATAAAGACGTATATAAGCTGGTTTTTTTAACATGACGTATATATTATGAAGTCATAGTACCTCTCGGATGTAGCTGAATTATTCCATCATCATGAGCATATAAGTTTTCGTTGTGCAATCCCTGGGCGGCGTTCATGTCATCTTCTTCACCGTCTTCAACAATATTTGTAGGTTCAAATAATTCATGGTCAAATTCATCTTCATTGGTTTCACCTTGTACATGGTTGTGGCGTAGCCTAGGCAAATTATCATCTGCAAATTAAAATAACACCTTATTATATGCAAACTACAGTAGCTATCGAAATGTGTTACATTTTAGAGAAATTGTGTGGTTCCCGTGCTGACTAGGCATTGCTCTATGCATCTTGTAGTCCCGATTCCGTTGTAGCAAGTCCTCCTTCTTTTGTGCATCCATATTGTTATAACTTTCCCTATTTCTAAGCAGCATATACCTACTGGATGAACCATAATTTATGTAATCTGTGTAATTTTCCATTTTAAAGTATTAAACAAACTTATAGTGAGGTTGGGAACAAAACTAATGTGTTGCACCTTGAGATGCACTGGCTGAGGCTCCTTTTGTGCATATAGCTGGTACCGAACGAAATGTATCTGCGCTGCCACTCCGACGTTTGTAATTATCATTTCTATGTAGCCATTCTGTGGGCTCATCTAGATGGACATTTTCACCATTCTCTATGCTCGGTGCTTGCACAATGGCAGAGAAAGCAGTTCCAAATGGTGTGTGCTCAGTTAGGGTTGATGTCGCACCTTCATATGTGAACAGAGTTTAGTCAGAGTGAATGATAGCTGAAGGTGTAAATATTAGCATCACCAAGATTACGCACCTACTATGGGTGACGATGTTAGCTCTGTTGGAGACACAACACAGGAAGTGGTAATATTTTGGGTTCCAGCCTTTTTCCGTGCTCGGTACTCTCGTTGTTTCCTATTAATCTCTTCCCTTTGTTCAATGGACATCTCAGCTCGACGTTTTCGTTGCGCCGCGTTCCTTTCCTCCCTTTTACGCTTGGCATTGTCTAGAGTAGCCGAGATACATATAGGAAATCAACAACATATTGCCTGAAGTATTTGATTGCACTGTTGTATACATGTCAAAAATCTAAAGCATACCTGTGACGTGGTTGTTGGTGATATCGCTTAGCGCAGTACGTGTATCTTTTGGTGTAGACATTATCAAATACCTGCTTTTGCAAATAACATTTTTATGAATTTTGATGGAAAATTTCAGTTTGACGAAGCATAATTTTGATGGAAAATTTCTGCACGTGATGATGGCCTGTGCGGCTGCACCAGGGATCAAATCGAGCATTGCGTTCTATTCAGGATGCATGTCCGCATGTGATGATGGTCGGCGCGGCTTCACCAAGGGATCAGTTAGAGCACTGCGTCACACCGGCAGCATGCGTGATTGATCGGGATATCTTTTTTCCATGTGTGCGTGATTGTGGGTAGGTGCTGCGGGCTTGTGGCCTTGGGTGGAGGGGGAGATGCGGGCGTGATCGTGATTGACGGCAATTTTTTTCCCCGCTCGTGCGTGATTTCGGGGAGGGGTTGCGGCCTTGCAGGGAAGGGGAGCGGAGACGCGTGCGGCGGCAATTTTGTTTCCAGCTGATTGTGCGTTGAAGCCTGGAGGGTGGGGAGATCCAAATAACGTTCGTCATCGGATCGAGTTGAAGCCTGTGAGGGAGGATTATGAGCAATTTCGTTGGTGCACAATGATTGGCTCCCTCAGCGGGGGACGCATTGTTTGGTGTACCTAAAATAGTTTAGATTGCTCCCTTCTAGTAGAATATGCAATTTCAATTTTACCACATTCAAAACATGGATTTTATTTAGTATGCTTCCATGGGTTTGCTGGGTCCATGATACTTCGTGGAGATATCTGTTATCAGCAACCGTAAGCAAGCACCGTAGAGCTATTTACTCATCATCGCAGATTGACAAGAAAAGAAAACACGGATTAAGATTAATGTATCGTACAGACCAGACATGAGATCAGACCTTAGCCCTTTATTTTGAACCGGACTGGACTGCGGGTTAATTCACCGAAAACAGAGGGTCTTAACTGCAAAACGTGCACGACTTGGGCTGACTGCTGTTGCTGACTGGGCTAAAACAGAAATAACTGTAGATGACAGGGGCTAGCTTGAAAGATATACAAGACTCACAAAACAGTAGATCAATTACGAAAAAGTATAGGAGTTAGAACGCAAAGTGCGCGTGCACTATGCTGTGGACCGAGTCTGCGGGCCGTGAACCGGTGGAGGTGATGTGAGAGCAGTCCACCATGGACCATGTCCACAATGGTGTATTTGGAGTTGTATTTCTAGATTTATTTGTCCAAAGGAAAACGGCCATGAATGCGAGTGATGTCATGATGATGTCAACGAGCTAACAAGCAAAACAGAGCACGCACGGCCGGGCTAGTTGCTCGCCGGAGTCTCGCGTGCGTGTGCCATGGCTTGGGCACGGCGAGGCATTGCCAGCACAAGCTCCCATCGGAAACTGGACCAACAAACAGAGGACCTCACCGTGGAACCGACATGGATTTTATTCAGTCTGCTTCCATGGGTTTGCTAGGTCCCTGATACTTCGTGGAGATATCAGTTATCAGCTACCGTAAGCGAGCACCGTAGAGCTATTTACTCATCATCGCAGATTGACAAGAAAAGAAAACACGGATTAAGATTACTGTATCGTACAGGCCAGGCATGAGATCAGACCTGAGCCCCTTGGACAGAAACTACTCGCGGCGGCGTCTCGCTGTTGCTCTGCTTCAGCTTCGCTGCCGAGAGATTCCCTGAAAGCAACAAAAAAAACTCAGAACCAAACCAAATCAAACCAGGAATCACACCAGAAAGATCACCCCGAAGACGACGGCCAGCGACGTCTCCGCGTCCGCGTGGCTGCAGCAGGTGCTCGCGCTGCTGTTCCCGTCCAACCTGGCCGCGAAGGCGGCGCTGTTCGCGCTCGTGGTGGCGCTGCTGCGCTGCTGCCGCGGGGCAGGCGGAGGCGCCCAGGATCTGGGAGCTGCCGCACGGCGAACAGCCCCCTCTTACCCTCTTCTTCTTGGCGTCGCACGCGGCGGCTGCCTATGCGGGCGATGCGGCGTCGCTGTTGCCCATCTCGCCTTGTGGTTAGTGGCAGCGTCAGACTGCTACGCGGCTGTCGGTCCTCGTCGAAGAGCGTGTGTTGGGGAGGGCGGCGGTTGCTGGAGCTGGAGGGGATGAGAGGAGAGAGCTGCGGTGGATGGGTAGGGAAACGGCGGAGGCTGCGGTGTCGCACTGCCGGGTACGGGAACCACACAATTTCTCTGAGAAACGGGTAGGGGCTGCGGGCTTGTGGCCTTGGGTGGAGGGGGAGATGCGGGCGTGATCGTGATTGACGGAAATTTTTTTCCCCGCTTGTGCGTGATTTCGGGGAGGGGTTGTGGTCTTGCGGGAAAGGGGAGCGGAGACGCATGTGACGGCGATTTTGTTTCCACCTGATTGCGCGTTGAAGCCTGGAGGGTGGGGAGATCCAAATAACATTCGCCATCAGATCGAGTTGAAGCCTATGAGGGAGGATTAGGAGCCATAGATTTTAATAATGTTAAAATCTTAGGTGCAATTTTATTGGTGCATAATGATTGGCTCCCTCAGCGGGGGGCGTATTGTTTGGTGTATTTAAAATAGTTTAGATTGGTCCCTTATAGTAGAGATAGAGATAGAAACAACATAAAAACCTAGTGCACATCTATACCAAACTTGTGTTTTTATAGGTGATTTTTTGGATGTTAGTTTTTAAGTGACCTAATTGATCCTGTCTGTTAAGCATCCCAGATCCTTCAACTACCATTGTCAAACTTTTTTTTGAAACAGGTATCATTATGTATTATCTTAACCGATAGTTACAAAGGAGAGCGCATGAATTGCATCTAGATGCTCATTATACCTGAACTAGAGAATTGAACAGCTAGCGTAGCCACTACATGAGTTGCCTCGTTGCATGCAACTTCTCTGAATATACATGAAAGAGAAAGAAAGGTTCACGTAAAACTTTTCTGCATCACACACAGTGGCTTCAACTAGAGATCTATATATCTAGATGCAGTGACGGTATTTTTTTGTAACATTGTGACAGTCAAAAGACACAATGATTTGCTCAAGATTATGTTGTATTGCAAACCACATCTAACTACTGAAACTTGAGCCAGCTCAGGATCTTCAACTATGTACGTCTTCTTACAAAATAATGCCATTTCGAAATCCCTATCATGCACTATGTAAAAAAGCCACATATCCACCATCTAACTACTGAAACTTGAGCCAGCTCAGGATCTTCAACTATGTACGTCTTCCACTAAGTCGCCGGCGGGGTCGCCGGTCCGGCGAGGTCAACACGCGTCTGTAATAAGCGCTTACTGCAGACGCGTGTTGGTAAAACGCGTCTGAGATAAATCTATAGACATGTATATATAAAACGTGTTTGTATCTGCAGCAGTTATTACAAACACGTGTTGTGATTTCTGAGTCAAGGATAACAGGATCAAACTCTAGGGACGCGCGTATGTGACATGCGTCTGTAGTAAGATCTCTTATTGCAGACATGTATGTTGTTGTAGACGCGTGTTTCCAACACGTGTCTTAAGTAATCCTACTTGAAGCAGACGCGTCCTGCTCTATACGCATTTGTACTTTGTGGCAGACGTGTGTTCCCTACGTGCGTTTGTAGCACTTGGCCTGCGTACTAAGCCGTTGGCATGTACTAACGGGCAGAGGGAGGTACTTGGCGCGTACGAAACACAACGGGCAGTGGCTCTTGCGTGGCTTTGACGAGCGCGGGCGGAGTTAGCGGGCGGCGGGCGGCGGCCGGAGTTGCGCAGTGCGACCACACGCGGGCGGCGAGTGGACTTGCATTCCGCACGCACAGGCAGGCGACGAGCGGAAGGAGGGGTGCGCGGCAACCGGTGGGGCGCATTGTTGTGGCGAGTGGCAGGCCGGAGGGGCTTGCTGCTATAGCGGGCGGCCTTAGGGCTGCGCCGCGTAGGCGGCCAGGCGCAGGTGTGGAAGTCTTAAGCTCGAGCTGCTGGCGCTCCTCTCTTTCCCTCTTCTCTGTCGGAGCACCGCCGCACCGCTCGACGGTGAAATTCGTCGCCGTTGTTCCATCTTCTCCCAATTTCCCGCGCTCCCAGCTCCACCTAGTTCTTGCGGTCCTCCTCGAACCACTGTAGCCACCTCTCGCCACCGCAATCACCCTCGGCATCGGTTGCCGCCGTGGCCGTGTCACCATGGCCGCCATGGGCAGCTCGCCGTGGCCAACTCGTTCCAGCGCTCCTCTGGTGATCCCGTTTATTGTTTTAGCTCTCCCGCAACTACCTAATGCTCATCGACTCCATTCTTTTACGTCTAACGCGCAGATCGTGCTGGAACGGCGACCTCGCCAATAGTTCATGCCGCCGCACGTGCCATCACCGTCGGCCATCTAGATCTGCCTCGTCCATGGTTCAACCAAGCAGCGCATCGACATCGCGGTGAGCTGCTGATGCTGCCTGAGCCCTTAGACTAACATATACAGTGCTGTAACTGTCGGAGCACTGTCGTGCCACTGTTCTATGTCCGTCGCACAGCCATGGTTGCGGTCAAGCTCGAGTCTGACTCTAACTTGTTCCTCTCAGCAGTGTACTCAATCAGGCGTGCTGCAACCATGCTTCACCATGTCGAGCTGTTGGGGATTGCCGGTGTGTTCAGCTCTCCTCCCTGGTCCTCCTTGCTCTCGTCTTCGGCCTCCTGTTCTCTGGCGTGTGCTTCTCTGTGAACAGTGGTGAGCTTGTGTGAAACTATGATGAAGTTGCTTGTGTGAAACTTGCAATGTGAACTAAGTCTACTGAAAAATGTGATGTTTATTACTAAAACATTGATGAATTTGCTTATCTTCTTCCATTTTCACTCCAGCCATTGACAAACCAGCAACAATATATATGTAATAATATATAGGTAGATGCATTTCCAGCCAAAGTATGTGATAGAGTTTGGATCATAGAGTTTTACTACTTCATCACAGTAATTACATCATCACCAAAAGTACATCATCACAGAGTTTACATTCACATAGTTTCATCAGCAAAAGTTAACACAACATCACATCATCATTAGTTGTTCATCGGCGGTGGAGGCATGGCGCGCTGCAACTTGTTCTGGAGGTCATGCACATTCTGAACCATGGATGCCAGTTGGTCTCCAAGGTCATCCAGGTTCTTCTTGAGACGCTTCTCCTTCTCTTCATTCTCAGCCTTCTCTTTCTTGAGTTCATGAACACAACGCTGAAGACCGCCTATGCTCTTCATGATGGGTTTCAGAACCACTGCCTCTAGGGCCTCGTGCATGGTACTTAGAGGGAGCTGAAAAGATCGAACCTATATGCACAGAAATAGTTATAGGAACATATATGAAAATCCATCATAAATCTAGATACTGTGAGAAAAAAACCTACATATAAGTTTCATTTGTATTCATATAAGTTTCACCATTCAGCATACATATCAGAATCATATAAGTTTCATATAATCAATTATAGGCTACAAACACCAGAATCATAGCAAATTAGAAAAATAAAACATCTAGCTGCTGCTAAGAATGCACATAAAGACTTAGAGCTGCCCCAATGAGATGAAACCCAATCTACTAAAATCACAATGCTGAAATATTGAAGTGGCACCATCAAAATTATTTACAAGATTAAGATCATTGATCTATGATAAACATCTAGATAAAGCAATCTACTCAAATCACAATGCTGCGGCAAAATACAATATATGACAATTTACATTGCATGTATAAAAACTTGAGTTGCATCTGCATTTATTCTACACTAAGTTGTTTTCTCTGCTCCATTTGGGTCCGGGATGAGAGAATGGCATGAGCCAAATTATTTTAGCAACAAACTTATCCAATTCAGAGGCTACCAACAAAACTATCATGAAATTAAGAAAACCTACATATAAACAGTTGTAATCTAAAGAGTGTGCATTACCTGGTCGAGGAAGAAGGTGTCGCCGCTGCCGTTGCTTGCGTGGCCTTTCTCTCCTTCCTCCTCGCCTCCATAGGTTCTCCTTCCTCCTCGCTATCCGAGTCCACCGCGAGCACCACCGCTGACTTCTTGACCGCTGCCCTCGACGCCGCGGTCGAGTAAGAGGGCATGTCTTGCCTAGCCTTCTTCTTCACCACCGCCAGCTACATCTCCTTCATCAACGCCGCCAGGTGCTTCTCCTTCCTAGTGATGACGGCGGCCTTCTTCTTCAACCCCAGTGGGGCAACCAGGATGGCCTTCTTGAAGGCCGACCTCTTCTCGAACCCCGACAGGGGGCTCACCTCCTCCTTCACCGCTGCCGAGGATGAGGAATGGTGGGGTGAACCTCCCTGTCTTCTCATCCCTCAGGTTGTGTCGCCTCTCTGGCCTTGTCATCTTCAACGGTGGTGGTTGCGGTACATCTACGGTAGCGGGTCAGGGACGCGAGAGGAGTGGAGGCAACTACGCGCGTGGTGGGGAAGGCAAGAGAAAAGTGGAGAGACAAGAGGCCGGAGTAAATGCGAGGGCTATGCATGCGGCGGGGAAGGCGAGAGAGGAGTGGAGAGATGAGAGGCTGGAGTAAATGCGAGTGAAGGAGTGGCAGTTCCAATGCTTTGAACTGCCACTATTCTCTCTATTAGCGGATGGCTGCGGCCGGTTCGTCAATTGGCTTACTACAGATGATTGTTAATAACATGGGTCTAAAGTAGGACCCTGACAGGATGGCAGGATGGCCCCACTGCCACCCTGTTTTAATGTATTTGAAACCTTTTAAAAAATAAACACCGCTCCCCATTTGTAACATGAGTAGCTCACATAGTGTCTAGCCCATGCTGTTAACTATCTACAACCTTCCCCCATGGCTATGTAACAAGAGGAGGTACATGATGATGTCAGTTCTGATATCTAGTCCATGTCAACTAGGTGTTAACATCGACATGTATCAAAGGCTGCTTATTGATGATTTCAAGGAACTCTAGAAAGAAGAGGGTATCAGGGTGTACGATGGGTTTAGGAAAGAACATTTCAACCTACGTGCCATGCTCTTCACCACTATCACTAATATTCCAGGATATCGTAATGTGTCTGGGTAGAGCAAAGGAGAAAAAGACTACTTTCATTGCTTAGATGACATGAAGACTGTTTGGCTGAATAACTCAAGAAGAGGGTCTATGTAAGGCAATGACGTTTCCTTCCTAAGTCTCATCCATACTGGGAGATGAAACATCAGTTTGATGGCACTAGGGAGATAGGATCTACACCAAGGCATTTCAGTGGGCAACAGGTATATGACCAGGTGGTAGAGGATACCATGCCTTAAGTTGACCCAAAGATCACTATCCTTGGAAAGCGAAAGCGTAGTGCAAAAGCAAAGAGTGCGAATATGAAGAGGTGGAAGAAAATGTCAATCCTATGGGAACTACCTTACTAGAAAGACATAGCGGTCCGCCACAACATCGATCTCATGCACGTGAAAAAAATGTTTGTGGGAGTTTGCTTGGGACACTCATGAATGACAAATGGAAAACCAAGGACCATGCAAAAGCAAGAGCTAATCTAAAGGAATTGGACATTAGGCCTGAGCTCTGTCCTGACGGTACCAGTGCCTAGCCACCTCTATCTGCCATAAACCTGACCCGAGAAGAGAAGCAGGAATTGTGCGACTTCTTTCGTAGTGTCAAACTTCCCTCTGGATACGTAGCCAACATCCAAAAGCTTGTGCCTCCAAGAGAAAACAAGATGCTTCCCATGAAGGCTCATGATTGCGATGTCATGCTCACAACGATGCTTGAAGTTGGTATCTGAAACATATTGCCAGAAAAAAACCAAATGGCAATCATGAGCCTCTGCTCCTTCTTTAATGCAATCTCTCAGAAGGTCATTGATGAACAATCACTAGAAGATTTTGAAAAGAACATGATTGAGGTGATGTGTCTCCTTGAGGTTTACTTCCCGCCGACTTTCTTTGACATATCGGTCCATCTTATTGTACATTTGGTTAAGGAGATCAGGTATCTTGGACCAATGTTCCTCCACCACATGTATCCGTATGAGAGATTTATGAGCACTCTGAATAGGTATGCCAAGAGTCAGGTCCATCCTAAGGGCAGCATGGCGCAGTGCTATTCTACGGAGGAGGTGGTCGACTGGTGCCTCAGTTTCATGGACCCCACCAATCCAATTGGCATCTCCAAGTCTCACCATGAGGGAACGCTAGCGTGCAGAGGGTTTGTTGGGGATAAGCACATTACTCCAGAGAGAGATGCCTACGAACGAGCCCACTTTCTAGTGTTGCAGCACATAGCAGAGGTGGAACCTTACATCAAAGAGCATATCGAGATGTTGAGGCAACAAAACCCGCACCGAGGCAAAGCTTGGTTAGCGAGGGCACATATGAGTGGGTTCAACATCTGGTTTAGAGATTGACTTGCCAGTTCAACCTCTTGCATAGACAAAAGGCTTCGAAAGCTAGCAAAGGGGCCTTTCTTCATAGTCACAACCTATCAAGGCTATGACATAAATGGATATACCTTTTACACTATTGATCAAGACAAGAAGAGCATGTACTAGAACAGTGATGTTCATGTAGTTGCATTCGACAGCAAGATGTAGAAGACAACGTACTATGGTCATATTGAAGAGATATGGGAACTCTTGTATGTAGGCTTCAAGGTGCCCATTTTTCGGTGTCTATGGGTTCAGGGAAGTCAGGGTGTCATGAAAGACAGGTATGGCTTCACTACGGTTGACCTCAACCAAGTTGGGTACAGGGATGAGCCATACAAACAAGTGACATACTTTCATTCAATTGCTCGTCTGATGAGTAGGCTAGTGTGGAGCCTGAAAAGCGAAGTATTGCTAGACTTTGTTCTGGTTTCACTAGTATAGAAATGATTTTTAGCGATGCCTCCCATTTCAATCAAAGGTGGTTCACCTAGCACGCCACCTCTAACCGAGTAGGGGACCACTGTAGCTTTGTGACCGCCTCTGAAGATGAATTTTTAGGGGCGGTTCCATTAGGAAAACCTCCTCTAGAAATAGGTCTATTTTTAGAGGCGGTTGTGTTCGGAGAACCGCCACTGAAAATGGATTTTCAAAGGCAGCCCTCTTTACAAAATTGTCTCTAATAGAGACATATTTTCAAATATGGTTCCTTAAGATAACTGCCCCTACAGATGATTAATAGAGGCGGTTTTCTTTAGTGAATCACCGCTAAAAATGGCCCACATAAATAGCCATCTTCCTCCTTGCGACAATGATACTGAATACCATTGTTCAGCTCATTTGGAGGCGAGAAATAGCAAAAATAGAGGGGGGAGGTTTTGCCCTTTGAAGCTTTGAAGGAGTTGGATTTGAGAGGTGAGACTGTGGCATCCCTAAGCTCTTTTCAAACTTTACATATACATTTATGTCACTAATTTATTTCCCTTAGAGATCTAGAGAGAGCCATGCATGATGTTTGATTTTTTTTATTTTTCCTAGCAATTTAGACTCATTTTTGCCCAACTTACTTGTCTCACACGAACTCTATTTAATTTTTATATTTACTTTTTCATTTTGGTACATAGCTTTTTTATATCATTTTTAAGCTTTAGGTCTAGAATAATATAATATTTGTATTAAAAAATAGACATCAATTGCTTTAATATTTATATGCGAATAATACCTTGATGCAAATATACCTTTTATTTTTGAAGGGCACATATGGACATGTCATGGATTTACACGAAATGAAGACATGAAGTTTTCGACATACAAGATGTGAATGGTTTTATTGAAGCAACTAAAAGGCATGCTTTGATTAAGCAGACAAAGGATATATTGTCCTTATTTTGACTGCCGAAACCTATAGTATGTCGAGATCCAAATATGATAAGATCACACTTGGTAAGAAGGGATTTCTTGGTGAACTACGAGATTTAGGATCATCATGGTGAGAGACGTACAGAAGCAGGCAACATGAAAGGTACAAATGCATCAGAAGTAAGGTAAGATGACGATGCCTATCTTATCAGATCATGATGCATGATGGTACAGGAGATGATGAGGAGATGATGTTGTAGGCAGTGGTGGTGGTGAAGGCTGTGCTGGTGGAGAAGATTGTGGTGAGGAGGATGATGGTGAAGACAACGAAGAAGATGAAGAAGAAGACCTCCTGGATGACATGTTGCGCCACGTAGAACAACAATTACTATTAAAGGGCTAGACAACTTGGAGACGGTGCAGAAGGCAAGGAAGGAACGTTTGTACCCAGAGGAAAAGGGTTGTGAGAAAATGCGGTCGTTGCTACGTTTTGTACTAGACATACTAGTCTTG